TGTATAATCGAAAACGCTATTAGTCTGGAACACCAGAGGATGAAGGAACAAAAAAGAAGAATTGATAAACAGAAACGCAATTATGATAGTGTAATTACAGAAACCAAAAGTAAAAAAACAGACTATTTCAGAGTATCAGGGTATAATACGATTATAAATAGTAAATGTAAAGATCAGGTAGGCAGTGGAGGCATTACCTTGATAATAAATAAAAACCTTCAAATAGAAGTATTAAAAAATGCACAAATTAACCTAAATAACATTGAATTATTGGGAATTAAAATAAAAGGACTCCAAAAAACTATCAACATTATAGGAATATATATTATAGAAAGCCAGGGAGAGTAGAACAGAATGACACCTGGACAAAGATCATAGACAGCTACAATTTTATAGATAATGAAGCTGTAATAATAGCAGGGGATTTTAACTGACATAATCAAGTTTGGAACTGTGCGGATACTAACAAAAATGGAGAAACACTACTAGAAGACGAATCAAATAAAATCAATAAGGAGCGTAAAGAGCCACAATGCTAGTTCTTCGTGCGAAGGTTATAATATATTCGTTTAAAATTGTTTACATTAAACGTTTCTGCCTGGCATCAGGCCTTCTTTAGTGTACAATATAAGAATTAATAAAAAATAAAGTTCGCTCGCAATAATTACATAAAATAAGAGATGTGGAAGACGTATTTGCAATCCTTTTCAACCAAATTGTTGTTCAGTAATAAAATAGATAGGATTATATTAATTTCATGATGAAGAACTCGCCCACGTAAAAGGAACGAGGTGGAAACGTGAAGAACAGATAGTCTTTACATGTTGAACGTTAATATATTAGTGATACTACTAGAAAAAATGGAAGAGATGAATATGATTGTTATTAATAGAGACACTCTGTCGAGAATCGGAGAGGGAGGAGTCAAATCATCAAATTTAGACTTACTGTTTTCATCGGATAATATATACGAGTTTATATCGTATAAACAGAAAGAGGACTTAAGGGGCTCAGACCATTATCCAATTGTTTTTTGAAGATTTGAAGATTAATAGAACACCGTACATTAAACTAACAAATAGAATTTCTAGAAAAAGAACAAACTGGAAAAAATATTATGAATTGATCAAACATCAAGAAAACAAGCTCAAAATGCAAGAATATGACTAAGAATGAACAAGAGAAATATTCGATAATAATAGATATTATGAAAAATGCTATTAAAGAGGCTATTTATGGAAACAAATTAAATGGGAGAAAAAAAGAGATTAAAAACAAAAAAGCATTAAAAAAAATACCCAAGAAAAATAATAGAAAAGTTAGAAATCCAGTTGACTGGTGGGATGATGATTGTAACAGAATTATAGAAGAAAGGAAAGAGAAGTTAAAAGAACATATTAAAAGATAGGATTTACATAGTTTTATAGAATATAAAAGGACAAGAACCATAGGCTGAAAAACAATTAAATAGAAAAAAAGGAAAGATTTAAAAGATTCGTTGGTAGCCTTAATAAAGATTCTGACATTAATTATGTCTGGAATAAAATGATAGTAATAAAAAATAGTTTTAAAGCGGTTGATTGGCAGACAAAATAGAACTAAGACCATAGAAAAAGAAATAGATAAACTAGCACCTCCATGGGTAGACAGCAGGATAAATGATGATGAAGAAAATGATAACAAAGAATCTGTAACAGAAGAATTAAATAAACCTTTTATCTATGAAGAATTAATTCGTGCGTGTAATAAGGTGAAAGAAAAATTTGCACCGGGGATAGACCGAGTAGATTACAAGATGATTAAAGGATTAAGCACCAAATTTAAGAACGAACTTTTAGCACTATTCAATTACTGTTATTATAAGGGAACACAATTTAATAAATAGAAGCTACACCAAACATTATTTATTGACAAAGTGGACAAAGAAAAAATAAAATCAATAACATTATCATCTTGTATAGGCAAAATTATGGAGAGGATGGTCAACGAAAAATTAGTGTAATGGACGGAGAACGGTAAATTTGACAAAAACCAGAATGGATTTAGAAGACGACGTTCATGTACAGATAATACTGCCAGAATAATAGTTGAAATAGAAATAAGTATGATGGAAAATAAACATACTGTGGCTGCATTTGTAGACGTGACGGCAGCGTATGACAACGTAAGAAGAAATTTATTAATTGATAAACTGAAAAGAGAAAACTGCCCAAGAAAAATCAGAGGTTATATTAATGAATAGATGAAAGAAAGAAGGACTAAGTTTATAATTAATAAAGAAAAATCAACTGAACAATCATATATAAAGGATTCTCAAGGAGGAGTTATAAGCCTCACATTATATGCCTTATATGTACATGAAGGATATTATAACCGGAATTAGTCATAATATAAAGGTGCTACAGTATGCTGATGACATTGTTGTATATTCTACGGGAGATAACTATGAGAATTTGTTGAAAGAAATGGAAAATGCAATTAAAATACTTGGTAAAAACTTAAGTAAAATTGGATTAGACTTAGAACTTGACAAAACCAAAATAATAGACTTCAATAAAAAAGGTATAATAAATGTACAGAATAATTTAAAAATTGAAGGAAAAGAAATCAAGTTCTCAAGGTATGCAAATTTCTTAGGCGTGATTTTTAACAATCAACTCACTTTCAATAAGCAAATAGAGCAAATACAAGGTAAAGTGAATAAACGTATAAATATACTTAAATTTTTTAACAGAGTTTCTTGGGAAATAGAAATTAATTCAGCTATATTAATATACAAGAGTTTTGTAAAATCCATTATGGACTATGGTTTATTTATATATTATCCGAGGGACTGGAGAGGGGAGGATAAAGTAGAGAAATTACAACATAAAGAAATAAGAATATGTATGAGCTATAGAAACAGCACTCCAACTAATGATGGAGAAAGCCTAATTTATGAGAATGGAAGAGAGAGCAGGTCTGCTAGCAAGAAACTACTGATTAAAGATTTACAGTTATGATAATAAAGAGTCTTAAATATATATGAGGATCATTCTTTTATGATGCAGTTAATCCTTAGTCCCGACGGTTCTTTTCGGCACCTTTAATCCCGACTCATGGGTTGTTTGCGTCTTTGCGTTATTTGGATCAGTAAAAACGCTTTAAAAAATCTGAAAAAATTCATGGAGCTTCTTTCAACCTTCAACTTGAAGTCCCAATCATAATATTTCGATAAAAATTATTTTTTTAGGTAGGGGATATGGCGCGTTCCGTACCCGTTTTCAAAAATTACAGCACTTTGAAATTTCGCTTGGGTCGAAAACGACCCATAAGTCGGGACTAAGAGTTAAACAAACTGTACGTGTAGTGCTTGAGCAAAATAAGTATATTTCAATCAAACTTATAAAATATTTTTACATACTTGCACGTGATTTTCTTTCTCTATATCTAACAGCATAACTAGGGAAAAAAACGAAAACGAATCTAGAGTTATAGAAAACATAAAACATAGCAATAGAATGACATTATTCTTAACAAAGAGTTAGAAGGTATTATGAATAGATTAGAAATTTTGGAATGTAGATACAGGTTTATCAATCCCAAAAAAAAAATAACTATTTTAATTGAATCATGGAGGAACTTTAGAAAATAGAAATGAAATAGAACGGATTGGTAGATTTGAAGCTTATAGTAATAATTACTGGTCATTAACCGAACAATAATAGCCATAGATATAAGTATGGAAAGAAAGGAAGTAAAATGTAGTGATGAGGATTTATTAGATAAGTTTAAAAAGGAATATAAGTTAAGTGAAGATTTTATTATAATTTACACAGATGGGTCAAAACAGGAAAATAGTATAAGTACAGGTATAGGGATAGAAGGGTCAGATATAGCCTATAAAATCAATATTAATAATAAATGTTCTATTTTTACTGCCAAAGCGATAAGAATAGAAAAAGCAATGGGTTATATGCAATAAAATGAGATAAAAACTAATGTAATAATATTAACAGATTCATTAAGTATTTGTACAGCGTTGCGTAATAATAGTATTAATGTTTATCAGAATAAGTATATTTATAAAATAAAAGAAAGAGCATATTTCTGTACTAAAAATATGAAAAACAAGGAAGGAAGCAATATATTAAAGTAATTATAGGTTAAATCCCTAGTCATGTAGGTATAGCTGTGTGTGGTAATAAAATGGCAGATAAATTAGCAAAAGAAGTAACAGGCGAACAACTAAATGTTCTGATTTAACACCTCCGAACTTTTACCTATGGAGTACTTTAAAAAACACTGTACGTCATAAAACCAAGAACACTGTAGAACCTGAAACACGAAATTGAAAATGCCCGTGCTGTTATTCCGCTAGAAACAATACAGTGCATATGTTGTTCTGTTGCACATCGTTGACAGCAATGCACTGGTTCTGATGGTGATCATTTTGAACATTTGCAACTTTAAGATAACTAACACAACAACAAGTTAACGTCTGTTTATTTTACTTGTTAAAATATATAGTAATAAATGTATATACATTTTATTGGGACACTCTATATAATCTGGAAATGTTACATATAAGAAGTATATAAAGTAATAAAACAAAAGATCTATTTATATAAGTGTAGATATGTAAGAAATTATTCTTTAAATTATAAATTAACCTAGAAAAATCGAAGAAAACAAAAGAAAGATCTATGTTAAAATTAATATTTTCAAATAGTTTAAACAGGAATGCATCCGGAAGATATGCGACTGCTGTGCGCAATTCTTATTTTTCTCGCCTCTTACTATCGGTTTATCAATAACAGTATTAATAGTATTAATTGGTGCTGTTTTGTTGTGTTGGCGTTACAGTATTTCCTGCAGGAATTCTACAGCCGCTTTTTTACTCTCAACACTTTCCCAAGTCCTTAAATTACGGCGGTATCGGAGTAGTGATCGGTCATGAGATCACCCATGGCTTCGATGATAAGGGTCGTCAATTCGACAACGATGGCAACATGATGCAATGGTGGAATAACGCTACTATTAGGGCGTTTCGTGAAAGAGCACAATGTATTGTAGACCAGTATTCTAGATACAAATTACAGGAAGTAAATCTGTACATCAATGGTAGGATGACTCAAGGAGAAAATATTGCCGACAACGGTGGTCTCAAACAATCTTTCAGGGTAATGATAGAAATATGCTACGAGGCAATACACAACATGTCTGAAAAATGATGGCATTAATTTTTTTTATCTTTTGTGTAAGCATCATCTATTGATAATTAGACGCATTTTTAAGTTTCATACAAATTATAGCAGTTGAAATGCTTAAATACATTTTATTATGAAAATACAATGAAGCAACGAGTTACATATACAGGGTGACCCATTTTAATCTATCAACCCAAATATTTCCGTTCCCTTGCATTTTACAAGAAAATGTTTCAGACAAATGTTGTATGGTTTCAAGGGGGCCATAAAATGATTTCATTGGTTTGACCTTGGATAGTCGTTTAAAGGTCACACGAAGGTCACCTTCAATTTCTTAAATTGAAACCTCCATTTTTCATTACATATTCTTATAGCTTATTTTGAGAGCTTTCCAAAACACTATAATAAAGTTATTTTCCATTAAGTATTTGTCGCGTTATGAGGTTTAAAAGTTACAATACTGCCGGCATTAGAGATATTATCCGAGATGTACCACGTGGAGGTTGCACGGTCAGATTTACATCTCTTGTGTGTGTGTGTGTGCGTGTGCGTGTGCGTGTGCGTGCGTGCGTGTGTGTGTGCGCGCGCGCGCGCGCGTGTGTGTGTGTGTGGTGCGTATTTAAAAATAATTAAGTATTTTATTGAAGGTGTTCGAAGACACGTCCACCTTGTTGGATACATAAACGCAATCTTTTATGAAAATTGTTACGCACTCTATTAAGAACAGTTGGTGTTATGCTTCTGAACACGTTACGAATACGTTGTTGCATATTTTCAAGTCGGCTCAGTCTCGTACACTTTTTTTTTAACATATCTCCAGAGAAAAAAATCCAATGACGTCAGATCCGGAGATTTAAAAGGCCACTCCTGAGTTTGACTACCTAAACCAATCCATTGTCTTCCAAATACATTATTTAAATAGTCCCTGACGTCCATGCTCTGTGAGCGGGCGCTCTGTCTTGCATAAACCACATTCGATTACGTGTCTAAAGATCAACATTCTCTAAAAGAATCGGTAACTGATTTTGCAAAAAAATAAATAACTTTGCGCATTAAGGTTTGCTTGAAAGAAATATAGACCAATAACATAATCTCCTACTATACCAGCCCACACATTAATAGACCATTGCCATTGTAATTCTTCATTCCGTTGCCAATGTGGATTTCCTTCAGAATAATAATGGCAGTTATGTCTGTTGACACCTCCAATCTTACTAAATGTGGCTTCATCAGAAAAAAGCATATAACGAAAGAATAACGGATCTCGTATTATTTGATTTTCAGCCCAATTACAAAATCTTACACGACGGATAAAATCCTCGATTTTCAATGCTTGAGTCAAAGTAATATGATACGGATATAATTTATAATTTCGCAAAATGCGATTCGCAGTTGATTGTGGTACACCATGTTGATGTTGAATTTTTCTCGTGGAAGTATACGGATCCATTTGAATAGCAGCAACAGTTACCAGCGTTTTCACTTTGTCAGCTCCAGTCTTTTGACGTTTTCTCTTTAAATCACCTCTTTCAGCTTTATGAACCGCATGTTTTATTGTCACTCGCGTTGGATGTCGTCTATCAGGAAATCTCTCAGCATATAATCTTTCCGCAGCTTTATAATTGCCTCTAGTCTCACCTATAATACGTATCATATCAACGATTTCATGTGGCGGATAGTCTGCCATATCACAGACCTTCTTAAAAAAACTTTCTACGTATTGAGAAAAATGCTATGGTATCAAGAGAAATTAATGTGACCTCTAAAAATGTTTGGTTACACAAAAGGACTCGACTAGTAGTTTGGAAAATTATTCCTTAAGTCAAACCACGTCTGATTTCTCTTGATACCATAGCATTTTTCTCAATACGTAGAAAGTTTTTTTAAGAAGGTCTGTGATATGGCAGACTATCCGCTCGCAGACTATCTCGGATAACGCTAATGCCGGCAGTATCGTAACTTTTAAACCTCATAACGCGACAAATATTTAATGGAAAATAACTTTATTATAGTGTTTTGGAAAGCTCTCAAAATAAGCTATAAGAATATGTAATGAAAAATAGAGGTTTCAATTTAAGAAATTGAAGGTGATCTTTGTGTGACCTTTAAACGACTATCCAAGGTCAAACCAATAAAATCATTTTATGGCCCCCTTGAAACCATACAACATTTGTCTGAAACATTTTCTTGTAAAATGCAAGGGAACGAAAATATTTGAGGTGATAGATTAAAATGGGTCACCCTGTATAATAATAACTTCCGTTTGAAACTCGATAAAACTGCAACGTAAACCTAAGAAATGTTAAAAAAGTTTATAGAAATGATCGTTTAACTTGTACATGAGTTTTTGATGTTTTGCAAAATCTAGAAATGACAGTAAAAAATCTAGAAAACGACGAACGGTCAGGACTTCTAAAAACGACTTCGATGAAAGATCTTGTGGAAAAGGTCCATCAAACTCGAATAACTATGCTATAATGTTGGCAAAGTAATACAGTGTTTTAGCAATTATGATTCACATTTTATAATTTCAACAAACGGAAGATCTATTCTCGATTTGTGAAGATCTGTTTGCATTTGCTAACAGAGTGCGTTTGTACGTGAATTTTTAATCAAAAAACAAATAGCAGTAATTATCTATTCATCATATTTACCTAATTTGACTTTTTGCTATTATTTTTTATTTTAAAAATTCAAAATTTGAACACTTAAAATGAAAGAGATTTGCTACGATGACATTCCAGCTATCTGAATAGTTGTGATAAGGATCCTCAATCCCTAAAGCAAACGTCTATCCATACATTAGTTGACCATGCCTAACGCTATATTGCTGAAAAATCATACGTTGAATAAAATGAGCGATTTTTATATATTTGAATTGATATAATGTCAATTTCGTTATTTTTCAGACATACTGTATAGTTTCAGAAATATATTAACAATAAGTTTCAAAAATTTCAAAATTTCAAAGATTTACATACTGCACGTTTTTAAAAAATCCGGCTATATGTTAATTCTAAAGAGAAATAGAGAAAATTGACAATGATTGACACATGGGATCAACAACCGTAAATATAATAATTCAAAGTTTGCTGTCGGAAAATCCTAATTATTGTATAATTTCGTATTCTTAAATATGTGAGACATCTTCTACTTTTATTTCTGCGAGTGTTACACTCCGACAACTGCGCTTCTGATACTTATTGTCTTCCATATTTGTTTATTTTTAAAGAATCACACTTTACATCATATTTAAAATTGCTGAAAAAATGGAAAAATTAAAAAATATAAAGTGCCAATCAGTTGTGGTCTCCCCTCTACAAGAATTATAAATTGAAATATTCTAAACACACATATTAACTTAATAATAATTTTTTTGCCTCAAACAGGCTTACAAAAAATGGGTTTCCATTCACGGCGAAGAGCCGTTGCTGCCAGGAGTGAATCTGACGCACGATCAACTGTTCTTTCTTAATTACGCACAAATTTGGTGCGGTTCTATGAGACCGGAGGATGCACTCACAAAGATCCGCAGCAGCGTGCATTCACCTGGACCGGTGCGGGTTTTGGGTCCCTTATCCAACAGCGAGGATTTCGCTAAAGCTTTTGCCTGCCCATTAGGCTCGCCAATGAATCCCAAGAAAAAATGTAGTGTTTGGTAGCTTGTTCAATGACATATTATATATATGTCACTTTATTGTAATTAAAATTGCGTAAACAGAAAAGATCGCAAAAGTTAAAAGTTCCGATTTTGGAATTAAAAACCCGCATTCTCTGCACATTCTAAATAACGCTAAACTGAATCGTTATCCTGAATTCAATAAAATATTTAACACACAGGACTTGAAAAAAATACATCAAAATATAAAAAAATCAAATTTAAATTTAAAATTGAAAAGAGAGATGTCCACATAATACTAAATAATGATAATACTAAATATACGATAAAAATATATGGTTAAAAATTATAAAATTATAAATGTATCATGTCCAAAAATCTGAAAAATCCGTGAATTGTCTCTTAATTATCCTTATTGTTAGCACAATACTGATATACTGTATGTTTTTATGTAATAAGCGAATAAAAATAAAAATAAAGTACAAATACAACATTTTCTTATTTTATAAAAGTATTTAATAAAGGTGCACAAATTGTGATATTAACTTACTAATACTGGCTCGGGGCGTTCGGTAATTGTTCCTGTTTTGTATGACTGCGTACTTACCAAATCAAAATTGTAATTAGTAAAGATAATAAAATTTAAATATAAAATTTACTATAAGTAATCATCAATAAATCGCGCTTTTAATCAATTTCCGATGTTAGCTTTTGGATATTTTATTCCGCAAACGTTTTTCCTTATTTTTAAATTATAATTTTTTTATCTATTAAAAACTTACTTTTTGCACCTTTATTTTATTAAAATTTATATCAACAGAAATGACACAAAAGAATACTGACTATAAAAAGGTATTAATATTTCAAAGATATTTTCATTTTTGTTGTTTTTGTTCTTCTTTTTTATATATTTTATATTATCATTATTTACAATACTATAGCCAACCAAAGTCGCAAATTTACATAATTTAAACTTCTATAAATGGTGACAAAACAAAATGAGATACATTTTGTTTAAATAAAAAAAATCATTGGTTGTCTAATTAAAAATTCTATGCGCTAAATAAAAAAACTGTAATGCGCAATGTATTGCGTTATTATAAAAATTTTTTACATTATACGCAAAGCTATAAATTTCTTAGATCTTGAATCCTTAATAAGTTCTTTTTTCCACTAAGTAATTTCTAATTAACTCAACTCATTAATTAGTTTAAAAACTACAATTCAGAGAATGGAAATCTTTTTAAATAATAAAAGATATAAGCAATGTTTCAGATCTCAATCTTTTGCATAATCCTTCTGTGATTCTCCTATCATTTTACGATCAACTATTTCACTCTGATATTTTATCTGTTCTAAATATAGATATTAAATATAGAGATTATTTGCAATGAAGAAGATATATTCAAGAAACAAACCTATCATTTTTTTATAAATCCAACTTCAGTTTCTCAAAGATGTTTCTTAAAGATTTCTTTGACATTTTAAATTCTTGAAATTTTAGATTTTTAACCAATTTTATTCTCACTGCGTCAGAATATTGTTGCGTAATTAGATTTTTTCTTTTTTAAAGTTATTGAATCGTTTGATTTTCAAACTTTTGCATCTGCAGAACTATATTATTTGCATGCAAATTTAGGCATTTTTGTTATCTGGCAAAAATAAGTAATTTTCTGTATATTTTTGTACATTGAATCCGAATCCAGTTTAATGAAATGTGTAATAGAGCGCAATAATAAAATTTTAGAAAAGTCTAAGAAAAATATGCCAAAAATAATAATTTTACTATATTTACAATGTTATTTTTAAAAAATAAATTTTTTCTTTAATAACCATTTACGTTATCTTAAAACGCTAATTTTTTTGTAATATAAGTAAGTAGAATGAAAAAATGATATAAAAAAATAATATCAAAAAATAGAAGTGTAATGTAGATCATCTTTACGTAATAACGCTCTTTGAATAACGTTAAGTAGAATTATGTAATGTTCTACACATACATAAATAATCTACTTTAATAGGTTCATAACACAAATACGTTTTGAAAATTTTACATAAAAAGCACATAAAATAACAAAAATAAAAATGTGTTAATACAGAAATATACATATCGTTTCTACAAAACAAAATTGCAAAGAAAATTATTTTTGAATAGTTTTGTATATATAGGACAGCGCTCGGAATTAGTTGCACATTTCGGGCCGATTTCCGAGACAACGCCTCCTGTTCCACCACTACCGCTCGGCCGCTGGCGGCCGAGCCGCCGATAGCTCTGGCTCAGGAGCGTTTTATATTAGAAATAAGGCTGGATTGTTTAGGTCATTTTTCGGGTAAATCGTAACATTTTCTTCACTACATAAATAATATTTATTTTATTAATACATAATATATATATATATATTTAATTATTAATGAAAATAAACATTATTTATGTAGCAAAGAAAATATTACTATTTTCTGAGAGGTACCTCAACAACCCGCCTATTTCTTATATAAAACGCTCCTGCGCCAGAGCTATCGGCGGCTCGGCCGCCAACGGTCGGACGGTAGTGGGGGAACAGAAGGCGTCGTCTCGGAAATCGGCCCGAAATGTGCAACTAATTCCGAGCGCTGTCTTAGAGTATTAGTAAAATTGAACTTAACAAATTTTATAATAAATATAATTAAATATTGTGTATGTATTCGCAAAGAAATTTGAATAATGTAGAAATGTATCGTATAATATATTCTACTGTAGTAATATAAGTACCTACTTTAGAAATCTTATAAATATTATTATATTATATATATTACAATTATGTACTGTGTTAAATGTATATTATGCAGTATTGTTTTAAGGCTCAGTGCAACATATACTAAGAAAAAATACAGCATTGTAGTGTATGCGTCAAATGATATTAAAGATATAAATGCGCAAGCATCCTACAATGCTGTATTTTTTCTCAGTATATGTTTCAGTAATCCTTAAAACAATATTGCATATTATAATAAAACAATGTACTTATGTACTACATATAAATAAATCTGACATTACATTACACGAGGCTATA